AATTTCACCTTCAAAAAAGATACTTTTTTCATGCAATTTGATAAAAGTGTTGTGTAAATTCACATCTGACAAAAATATTGAAAGTTTCTGAAGAAAAAAAAAAGTTATATTAATGTGAAGTTAGTTAGCAAGTTGACCACTGGTAATTGATTGGAAAGGATATGTACATATTTTGAAAAGTTAATACATACAACAAGATTAACATTATGATAAATACTTTTGAGCTTGATTAATGTTAGTTATCTCCATATTTGATATTAGAATTGATAACAGTATCATCGAACCATTTGAAAAAATAATGCTTAAAACAATATGCTACGTTGAATATAATAATTTAACATTTAGGCTTACAATTACAATGGATTTCCTTGAAAATTAAGGTCGATATATATTCAATAAATATAATGGAAAAATCCGTCGACAATTCAGTGTGTAAATAATGGCCTAACAATTAGTATGAAAAATGTCAGTCAGCATTGACTTCATGAAAGATTGTGTTTGCTGACAAGGTCATTGTATCGACCATAGAACTTACGAAATGATGATTTAAGAAGATACTGCTGATATTCTTGTTTCATCAACTTGTTTGTCTATAATTTACCTTGTTTAAGAAATTGTTCATACGTAGATTAAGCTCTTGCGTATCGAATCAACTGAGAGATATAAACCCCGTATGCAGGTGATAAGGGTATATTGCTGCATAAGTAAGGGAAGTTGACGATTGAAAAATTAAAGTCATCACGTTGATCATAAAGCTTTGATGTAAGATTACCATTAACGTCTTTTTCTAATAAAATTTCCAAATATGAAACAGATGTGTCAGACTCTGTGGTATCTCTTATCTCAAGCTCACCGGGATATATCGTGTCGACATAAGAATGGAAATAACCATTCTTAATTGACAATACGTCGTCGATATATCTAAATACAAAAATAGGTCTGCTAATAACGGGGCGCAATTGGTACCAAATGGAATTCCAATAGATTGTTGGAAGATCTGCTCTCCAAAAACCACATAGATATTGTCAATCAGAAACTCGAGCATCTTTATAATGTTAACTTCAGAGTACTTCTGTGTACAATCAGATTGTTTTTCAACAAATTATTTTTCAAATGACCAATGACAAGGTAAGTAAATTTACGAGTTCCATTTTTAGTGAAAAGCAGCTGTCAACGATGTCAGAAAGTCTGGAGTTCAATTTATCGTGGGAAATTATTGTATCCTTAATTCTCATTATATGGGGGGTTCCATTGTATCGCGGTATTTTCCAAAAATTAGGATACATATCCTTTTTGTTGATGGACTATCTGTCTGTCGTCTGAATGTTGACTTCTGTGATGGTTAAAAAGTATGAAACACCCGTTGGAAAAATATTAATTCAAATAAAACGAAATTTTACAGATTTCCATTCCCGTTTTTATTTTATTTAGACCATTGAATATATAACCAAATAAAATCCATAATAAATTTCATATATTGAAAGCCTTAAATTTGTATTCTTGACAGTGCCAAGCCTCCATGTTTTTCAATACCGCGATACCATGAGACTCTTCACTTTAGGAGGTAAATAAGACTTCCTGTTTTAAAAATAGACTACAAAGTAAACGAAGAAATCTTAGAAAATAATTAGCCACTAAGAAGTAAGGCCATTGATAAGTTTTATGAATAGTGTTTGGTGAAAAGTTAATATAAGAATTTGGAATAACTGTTTTATGCAAAAGAAATAAGTACTGCGATATTATGAGACACCAGTATATATAAAGTTGAAAAGTCGTAAGTTTTTATGTTGTTGACTTCGGTAAAATTTTGTGATTTCAAATGTTCCAAAAGTTCCTTGGATTTGTTTAGTATCCACATCTGACTTACACCAGTTCTTGAATATATTGTTGCACAGTACTCGTGATGTTTCTAAATCAATACTATTAATATCTTAGTGAGAAGTAAAGAAAGAGGCTTGGTAGAACATTTACTGGAACCCACTATGTATCTTTGTTTGTAAGGTTTTTTATGAAGTTTCGGAATCCAATATAGATATGGTAATTCAAATTCATTTTAGTTGTTGGGAATATTGATTGATTGTAAGTTGTTTTACGTCCCATTCGAGATTTTTTCACTCATATAGAGACGTCACCATATACAGGTGAAGGGCTTCAAATTTTGACCTTTACTCGGCACTCAGGGCCATTGAGCAGTGAGGGATCTTTATCGTGCCAATGTCTGCCGTGACACGGGGCCTTGGTTTTTAAGGTCTCATCCGAAGGACCCGCAACTTCACTTCAAAGTGCCGAGCGCATGGCGAAGCACCAGTTGCTACCCATTTTTTATCGACTTAGGTCTGTCGCGGTCGAGATTCGAACTCACGACCTCTCGAACACGGAGCCAGCGCTCTACCGACTGAGCTACCGTGAACGTTGTGTTGGGACTATTAAAAATATTCAATACTGACATATGATTTTGAAAAATTTCCTCCTTAGAAAGGGAGCTATGGGCATAAGTTGGATTATCACAATAGAATTAAATCCAAGTTCCTCTAAAATACGATTTATATAATGAGCCTTACAAACAAAGACAATGTTGTTACCTGCTTTGTCAGCAGGGACCAGTACATACTGATCGTGTAATCTATCTAAGTCTTTTTTCACTTCTGAATTATTGAACACAGAAGGATAGATGGTTTTCATACTGCCTCTCAATCGTTTAATGCAAGATTTTAACATATATCTGATACATTTAATCCATTCTGACAAAGTGTCAAGGTCTTCTTTTTCATGTCTGACCCAACGCCTGGCGTAATCCTCTACAGAATCCATAATACGTATGAAATTACTATGCCAGTTGAAGGATCGGGGTTCCCAATATTTATGACCTTTTAAAATTAGTGATCTAAGGTCCTCATTATTACCTGGTAACTGTCCCTGGGGTATGGAAAGAGGGGAATCCATTTCAAGTTAACAAAACTCAATTTTATCAACTGGTAAAAAACATTAAATTTTTTCACTTATTTTTTTTTTACAATAAAGAAAGGGTAAAAATTATCGGATTACGTATTGTATTTATTAAGTTTCCTTGAAGGACTTTAATGTCTGATGTATGAATCTGATCATGTACAAATACAGGATATACGAATTATATAACGAAATAACCTTTTCATGAATGTTTCCAATAATTTTTTTTAATTTCAAGGAAACACACCAAAATCACCATTGATAATTTTCTATTAATGCATTTACACACAGGCTTTTCTTTGTTTCTTTTTTTTTTCTTAAAGTATTTAAGATGCACGAAGAAAAAGTGGAATTATGTGATATTAAATAACGAATGATGTTTGGTATTGTTCATTCATACATGTATATAAAATGACCATTTGATACTATCTATTGACCCTTTAGATCTGGTCCAGAACTGCTTCATTTATAGCTCACTATAATGATATAACATAATTATCCTCCTGACAAGAGTATCAAATGATAGTATAACAGTGACAATTCTGAAATGCTCCAATAACTGTGCTCTGTCCCATTACTAAATATATAATCATCATTTTTGTTTAAATTTCTTTCAATATATTTTCAATGTGAGTATTCATTGATTAAAAAAATTGAGATTAATTTGTTATTGAGATATATTGATTCAAAAATAATAATTTTTATTTTGTTATTAAATGATTTGCGGTTTGTTCAGGATACAGATCATTTACTTGTCCTTTCTAAAACTCGAAAAGTGGATGTAGTAGGTGATATAAATATCAGGCCATGTTTAAAAAATTGTTTGGTTGCACTCTCCCGACCGACTGGCTAAAAATGGCCCGACTCAAAACTTTGTTTTGGACATTCAGGAAGCAATTATTTTTTTTTATGCATTCTGGAAAATAGATTTTGAAAATTCAGCATTGAAATTGAAATTTTCTGGGGGAAAAAATTTCTCACCTAACTATCGACCCAATTTTTTCATCCTGGGTCGGGAGAGGGCAAGCAAACATTATTTTAAGCTTGGCCTCACTGGCCATTTCTTCGCTTAACAACAAATCACACAATCCATCAACATCTGAAAATTAATCCAACACACAAACATTATATATGAATTTCATATTAACTAGCTTTCAAATTGCATATTTTTTTCAAATACAGAAAAACCACTTATTTAAATTGTGTTTTGATTTATTGTTGATTTACAGAATATCATATCATTGAATATTATCGCATGGTCATTTGTAACACAAGTACCCCTGACTCTGAAAAGCTGACTGTTGACTTGTATCACGTGTACATGCATTTTCAAACCGATAAGAGATTATTGTCTGAATGTGTGATGAAGCCATTCGTGTGTGAAGCCTAGCCCACTTGTGAAGACTCACTGGGATGACTTGTTAGCCGACTGTTCCGACTTTTGTTGACTCTGCAGCTACGGTTATTCTTGATAATAATAAACACAAAGTAAAACATATATACTAATTTAGAACAGAGTTTGCACAAAATAACCATTTCTACAAACTGGTTTTGCAATTTTAAAACAACAATGAGAAACCATTAAAATATTAACTTATCATCTATTAAGTTTTAATTCTACAAACAGTGATATTCATAAATATATGTAGCACAGTTGAAAGAATGATCTTGTATATTTAATTTTGATCTTAACAATCAATATCAAAGTGACAAACCATTTGTGAGACTTATATATACCAAGGAATTGCCTGATACCAGAGTAACTTCCTACTATATAGCAGCACAGGTTTACAATGTAAATAATGAACAGTAATCGATCTGAAATAATCTACAAATAATACAAATCTGTGAACAGGGCATAGAGCACACACCCTCGGAAATAGGATATAAAACATACAATTTATGAGTAACGTTTGTTTTCATTTATGTAACTGGTATGCTTATTATATATATGAAATAAAATTTCATAATACAAATGTACAATTGAAGCAATGAAACAAAAAGTGAAACATGAACAATATAATATTTTTACCATATAATGTTAAATGTATTCATATGCTGAAATCTTTTTCTTTAAGAAACAATATTTTCAAAAACTTTTATGTACATATTTTCCAAAAACTCTTAACTTGTTTTTATGGTAAACATTTGAAAAACACTTACTTATTTATGTTTATGCATACTTAGTATTTTCAAAATTAAAGTTTAAGAAAATTGCGATCAAATTCACACACACACACACTAATCGGTAGTATACTAGTATATATGTATATATATTTGCCTAATCAGTTACAGATTTTCTAATCGATTACGATCATTCCAACTGAGTAATCAAGTTAAAGGGTAACAAATTGCCAACCGTAGTTAAATTACATCTCTATTTAAGAGAGTTTTTCAGGTTTTATCATGAACTTGTTAAGAACTTACATTTGTTCTGAACATTTTAAATGTAAAATTTTGTTGCTGCGTACTTTATTTGTCTCAATTCAAAAGATATTTTTTTTAAATTATCCTCCACTAATTTTTTGAAGCTGCAGTGACAGTAATTTCTAGTACAGAATATGAAGTCCACCATCTACCACAATATCTTCTCCATTGATGTATGATGCTTTTTCAGAGGCCAAAAAAGAAACTACCGAGGCTACATCTTCCTGCTCCCCGATCCGCCTAGACGGGTTCTCTTTTGCACTTGTAGCAATAAACTGGAACACAGGATATATGAAATGCATGCATTAAAGCAGTCCTTGTATTTCAGTGTCACACTTTATTAAAACAAAAAGATATAATTGTATAATAAATAGAGGGCTTTACATTAATGCCTTCTTACTATATACTTTCTTCACTAGAAAGACTGAATATTAGATTTTGTAATATAAACATTTCCAATTAAATGTATGTAGACAATTTCTTTTAGTATTTTGCATGCTTCGTATTTATGTCACTTACACAATCACTGAACTGTACAATATTTAATGTTTTTGATTGATGAATACATTTCATTTATTTTATAATCTTTCCAGTTGCAGTTTTAGAGTTATTATATCCGGTATGGAATGATGGGAGAAGGCATTGTTAAACTTAAAAGTGGTATGAATTCCGTTTGCCCGATCATGATATGGAGCATACGGCGGGTTCAACCAATCGACAGGGTATGCTTTTTCCTCCATGGCACCTAATCCCACCTCTGCTCCCAATTTTTATTGTTTCAATGGACGTTTAGCTTGATTACTGTTCGTTATCTACTTATTTCAATCTTATTTCAAAATACGATTTAAAATAATAATTTCAATAAAACGTGTATGCAATTAGATAAATATTGATAATGGCCTTCTTATATTTTAAATTTTGAGATAAATGATTCGTGACAATATATAACCTTATTGTATGATTCTTCATCTCCTAAACCAGGAACGTTATCACGTCTCAGAAAATTGCTATGTGTGAGTCCAGGCCTGTTGATGATAATGAAAGTGCAAAGACTGAATACGAACAAATACATTCTTTTGAAATGCATTATTAGGTAATTTATTTGTTTCTTCATTCTATATAAAAGATGTTTCCACAATTCTCACACAGGAACATATTTCATATGTTTAAATATACCTTATAGTATTTGCTCGCACTCCAAAGGGCGCTAACTCTGAAACAGGAGAGTGATAGTGTCAGTTGTACTGCAAATTTTATAAGTAATTGAACTATTTGCATTGAAATTTGCCCATTGATTGTTGTATTAATCGTTTGCCTATAACAAAGGATTAACACAGTTAAGAATGTAAACAGATTTTCATGCATATATATGAATAAACTCAAGTAGATTTCTTCTTTTTAACGGTATATTACGCTCTAAACATCGTAACAGTGAAGTAGGTGAAGAAATGAGTTAATTCGTACCGTGTGCTTAATAGGTGCAGAAATAAGTTAATTCGTACCATGTGCTAATCCTCGAGTGAAAGCATCCATGGCTGCCTTGGACATGGAATAAGAACAATGTCCAGGGTTCTACACGAAAAGAAACGAAAGGGTTTTCTGCAATAAGTGATTTCTGTACTTTGTACATTGTGTAACAACGTATTTTCCAGTTTCTAATTTGGCTTGATTAAAATGACTAACAATACCTTCGATGTGAGAGTAGACAATGCACTTGATATATTAATGATGCAACCTGAAAGGAATGAAAAAATAGAAAATCTTTGAGCAATGACACATCAAGCATAAAGTGAATCAATGAGCGTAGATAAAGACATTCTAGTCAGAATTACAGGCTCCTGGACCATAAAACTTAGACGAGCTCACTTTTGATCGCAGTCTCACTTTTACCAAAAGGAATTTATAGTGAAAAAGTGAGACTGAGATCAAAAGTGAGCTCAAATAAGTTTTATGACCCCAGGGCTTGGGCAAAAATTAAGTCAGACTAAGTTTTTATAACGTTAGATGAGTACATTTTCCTATTCTTTAACCATTGAAAAAAATAAGCAAACAAACATAAACTCACTCAACTTCAACATCAACAAAAAAAATTAAACAATTTTCCTCCTGATATCAGCTTTTTCTCCAATAATGTCCAAAAGTCAATATTTTCACTGTTTTCTTGATCGACAACTTTCAAGATAATATGTTTCAACAAATAGATAGAGACAGTTTAGTCAGAATAAGTGGACAAATGTTAGGTCGCATTAAAATATTAATTCTTAATTTGGTTCAAGTTTTTATTCAGAATAAAGTGTTAAATCCATACATTAACCATAAAGATATCACTTGCCCTTCTCTTTTTCCTTTAATGTTAACAATATAAACTTACCTTTTGTGGCCTTTAGATATGGTATTGCCAACTGTGTTAGAAAGTACGCTGACTTGATGTTGACGTTCATAATTTCATCAAAGTTTTCTTCCGTTTCCGTCGAAATTGGCATAGGCCTCCCCATACCAGCATTGTTTACCTTGTACAAAGAAAACAAATTGTATTTCTTTTAATGATTATAATCTTTTTCAACTGACCAAAGTTAAAGGTTCATATATGGGCTTTTCTGATAAAAAAAATTACCTTTTCTCTTGTCAGATGTCTTTGTCGTAATTTAACTTTAACTTTAAATTTCATTGAACCTCAGCGTCAATCAAATTCATGACAGAAATGATGATCACTTGTATGTTCAAATGAAGAGTAACAACTTTATTTCTTTAAGTAAAGCAAAGTTAGGGGTGATTAGGAAATAAGACAATTTAATTTACGGGTAGAATATCAGTTGGACTTGTTTGACAAAGAAGTCACATCCATCCTACTTTACGGGTGTGATCTATCTAGATGTAATGGAATGTGTTAATTTATAATTTAAAAAAAAAAACTATGTTTAATTTAAAAAGCTTTACACAAATTACATGATTTATGGATAAACGATACGATTTTCTATGCATTAATGCTTTTAAGAGAATGATTATATACTGGCAGAACATAAAAATGTCAACATTGTTTATTTTTATATGTATAAATATCAATGTAATGAGAACTTAAATAGCCAAAGGGTTGATTATATCTAAAAAAAAAAATTAACAATATAGTCACAGGTCATTTATCATTTTATTTAGAAATGGTTAAATGATGTAAAATATTCATCTAATTATAAGGCCAGGTTTACAGAATTTTTAAAACCAATTTCGGATTTAAAAACTTTATTAAAAATGTACCTCAAAAACAAAGAAAAGTATTTATGAGCTTATATTGCTTAAAAAACAATGAAAGCCTTGGCAACCCCTCTCAGGTTTAACTACAAAAACAATGCGACAATATTCAGACTGGTTTAGTTTATGAACGGAATCACATAACGTTGATTTAATAACAGAATTTATGAAATTTACTTACGCTCGTTATCTCATTACGCTCTTTAGCTCATCTGAAAGCTCAAGTTAGTGTGACGATCGATCCCCCTTTTTCACGTCTTATGATGTGTTGAATGTCAAGCATTGTTGAGTTATTTAATTACACATTTGTTGTTTACTTACTTATAAATACATAGTTATAAAGTTGCAATGTAATGTCGTACGCGTGTGATCGATGTTTTAGCGTCTTCAGGAAAACGTGTTTTTTCTGAAACTTCTGCCGCCGCCATACTTTGTTTACTTGTGTATTTTCCCATGATGCTTCACGGTCTACTGATCTATTTTTACCGTAGTTATTTTGGCGGAAGATTTGTTTGTAGATTCTGTTTAATTAAATGATAAAATAATGTGCTTTAAAAGCGTAAATATTTAATTTATTTACATATTGTAATAATTTTACATACGACGTACGAGGATTGAATTATTAATTATGACTGGTTATTAAGAGCCATTCTCTGTAATGACTTGAACTTTTATAAAGGAGCTGTGGCACGCATAGTCTCAGAATTTCTCCAAACTCTCTATGATAAAAGTCTTTGATACCGTAAACTCAAATCAGGCAAAAATTGGTTGCTACGTGTCATGGTTACCATAGCAACATGTCCTAAAGTTTGAAAAATGGCATTTTTCAACATATTCAGAGTCCCACAGTTAACGTTTGCAGCAAAGCAAACAAGTGGCAATGACTGTTTCTGAAAGTTGAAGGCCTGGAGTCTTAAATGCATGATAAACATGTTTGGTAAATCATCTATAACATACGTTACTATGGAAACAAAGTATTCAAAAGTAAAAATTTTGTTCATTTAATTTTATAAAGTCATACACTTAAGAATAAAAACAATTATAGGTTGAAATGCAAGCAATTAATAGAGAAGAGATCCTTGTAACATATACCAAGGACAAAATATGATATTTCTTACAGGTTGGCAATGGTTGCCATGGTTTTAATACCACGAAGGGATTTTAAGTTAACTCTCTTAGTGTTTTAATCTTATCCTATCTTTTTAAAAAGCATATTTTTATATAACTGATGATCAATTTTTAAAGGCCTTGGTGTGACCCTAATTTTCACATTTCAAAAAATTCAATTTCAATTCTTTAAATAGTGCGTTGCTATGGAAATAAGGCAAAAAAACAAGTAATAAAAATCTGAAAAAATACTCTGTTTCCTTGGATACGTACAGTTGTATGTAGATTCCCAAAACTTTAATGATTGATATATGTGAACAACTAACCTGACTTTCAGTTTTGACTGTCACCCAATCTCTAACTGGATGCAAAAAGCTGACACATAGGGTCTAATATTGACAAAAAATTAACAAAATCGAACATTTTCTCTTCTTGGTAACCATAGCAACAGTGTTGTATTTTTCAATAACCTTTATTCAACTTTAGTTCTACGAGATAAGTACTATTCAAGGTGATTCAAATAATATTTTTCTTGATTAAAAGGTTAGTAAATACCCAAAGCAGCAAAAAAATATCACTTTAAACAACTAGTACGTTGTTTCCATGGTTACACTGCAAAGTAACAATTAATCTCAATTTTTCTTATGTTGTCGGTGTTGCAAGGTCCTAAGGATGTATATGTGCCAGTCATGAATTTTATTGTATTTCCTCAAGATAGTAGCATTAACCCAATCATAGCAACAGATTTTGCATGGTGACACTGTGTTACCATGGCAACCATGAAAGTTATTTTTAGAATAATATTGCCAATGCCTAATTACATTAGGTCAAATATTTTTCATTGTTTTTCTTACGTTGTTGATTGAGTTTGATCATGTAACATCTATCATTTGTGACTATAGAGCGTTTTTCAGCATTTTTCAGCATCTAAAATGTATTCCAAATGTACCCATGGTTACCACTTACTTAGAGATTAATTCTAAATAGTTTCTTTAAAGCATAAGTGGCAACAAGGTGTCATGTTTTTGGGAGAATGGTTTGTTTGTTTTTCTTAGTCTTTATTAAGACTTAATAAAGAATTAAAGTAGCTGAAAATCTCAATTTTTTCAACTTTTCTGGCTGTTACCATGGCAACCAAGACACATAGCAACGAAATTTTATTTGATATATGTTTCTGGTGTCAAGTTGTAATAATGGGCAAAGTTTCATCAAAATCGGTGACCATGCGTGGCAAAGAAGTTTAAGTGGTTACAGAGAATTGCTATTAATTATTACGGGTTTTGGAAATTCTATAAATACAAAGACGCTGAATATCTAGTTCTCTCTCCTTCCCTTAGTGTCCTGAAGAAAGGTCGCCGGTTTTTATCCATGCAGATTAAGGTGTGTGCTATTTCAGTATCTAAGTGACGGAAGTACATACTATTATATATAGTGCTAAGCTAAATTAATATTATTAGTCATTGTGCTAGTTTCATTTATAATTACAAGTGAAGAACTAGTTATTTCTATTTTCTTTAAAAGTTAGGGAATATTTCTACTGCCCGCTTGCAGTTGAACTAGTATCGGGAATATCATTTGTAAATTAAGTCATTTATAGAGAGCCTTTCCGTTTTAGTTTGGTCGGGGGAATTAAGGCCTACACATCAATGTTAATAATTTACTGGAAATAGTGCCAGTTTATATCCGTCCGTATCAGTAGTTGTACTGATTTTTGTCTTTTGTCCCAAGGGTTGGGACTTGTAAATTTTACACATTGTTATTCATTTTCGCTGTTGTATTACTGAATAAAACTATAAACTTTATTTAGCGACTTGGTTTTTATTCCTAGTGTTTGCAGAATGTTTGATATCCGAAGCGTAACATTAGTTTGTCTGATCGCATTTTGTTCGGCCTACTTCTACAACTTTACACATTTTCGACTTCTTCACAAGAACCACGGGCCAATTTCAGCCAAACTTGCCACAAAGCAACCTTTGGGTAAAAGGATTTCAAGTTTCAACTTTTTCAAAGGGAGATAATCAAGAATAAGAGGAAAATTAATTGGAATCTATAAAAAAAAAATTCCTCAAGAACTAATGGACAAGAAGAGTTAAAACTTAAGTGAGAGTTTCATAACGTACTGGAGATTCAAAATTGTTCAAATCATGTCCCCAGAGGCTAGGTCGGGTACAAAAGGCGATCACAATTTTACATGGCAGTATAATGAAAAAAAAAATCTTTAAAATTCTTTAAACATCTTCATCTCAAGAACCACTGGATCAGAAAAGATGAAACTTTTGTGAAAGCTTTATTACATTGTATATTTTAAATTGTTTAAATAACCCCCGGGGGTAGGGTGGGACCACAATGTTCAAAGTTTTGCATAGAAATATATAGGAAAAACTTTTTAAATTCTTTGTTTTCTCAAGAATAGCAAAGACATGATCAGTGATATTAATATGGATGCATCCTCAGATAATGTAGATTCACGTTTGTTCAAATCATGACTCCCGGGTTAGGGTAGGACCGGAATTGACGAACAAAGTTTTTTTCTTAGGAATGTAGGAAAAACTATAATTTCTTTTTCTCAAGAACAGCAAGGCCTTAATTAGTCGTATTCAAAAGGAAGTTTTCTTTGGAAGTGTATAATTATCTAAGTTTGCTCGAATCATGACCCTCATGGAAAGGAAGGGGGAAAAAAAGGTGATGAAAGTTTTATATGGGAATATATTGTGAAAAATCATTTAAAATCTTCTTAAGAACAGCTAAGGCATGATTAATCATATTGATATGGAAGCATCCCCAGGTAGTGTGGATTCAAATTTATTCAAACATGAATCCTGGGCAAAGAGAGGGCCACATTAGACGATCAAAGTATAGCAGAACAATATATATATATATATATATATATATATATATATATATATATATATATATAGAATAATACATGGCAAAATCTGTATCACACCCCATATAAACCCGAGACTCCAATATCAGCCCGAGGGCCGAAGGCCAGAGGGCTGATATTGGTCGAGGGTTGATATGGGGTGTGATACAGATTTTTTCATGTATTGTTGTTTTTATTATGTATTTGAAAATAGTGTCCTAAAAATCATATATAAACTTGTAAATTAATTACTGAATTTTTAATAATTGAATGTGTTCTGTTTTTGTTGAATTTCCGTTTCTCAATCTTTTTTAACTTTAGGCAAATAAATGCATTCAGCGATACGAAATGAAATTATTATAAATCAAACAATAATTATTTTGAATAACATAATATGTCCCATGAAATAAAATTACAATTTGAATAAACTTTGGAAAGAAATAGGAAAAGATCCGAGGTACTCCGAATGAAAAATACAGAGATGTTACGGAAAGGTGTAATAAAGGGTGTGATAAAGGGTAAAATAAAGGGTGCTGATACAGGGTGTGTAATACAGGGCGCGTGCCTGTGTTCATATCAGGGATGCAAAAAACCTGTATTATAAAACAAATATATAATATATATATATATATATATATATATATATATATATATATATATATATATATATATATATATATATATATATTGCTCTAGAGAAGCGCAGTAAGGATTTGATCCTCTCAAGAATTTTTTCACTCATATGGAGACACCACCACTTGCCGGTGGAGGGATGCAAATCTATACCTATACTCGGCACTAAGGGTCAGTGAGCAGTGAGGGATCTTTCGTGCCAACACCTACGACACGGGACCTCGATTTATACGGTCTCATCCGAAGGACCGGTCTCCACGTCCCGCACTGGATTCGAACCCGCGACGTAAGGATCAACTCCTTACTCTGCGACTCTAGAGCAGTAAGTAATTTTAAAGAAAAAGATGTGCCTTATTGTGTAAGTAATTTAAAAAAGATTCTAATCGTTGCAATCTAACAAAATTAATTAATAGTATCTACTGTATTCATTGATTTACTTACTAGAACATCAAGTTTTCCAAAATGTCCAATTGTTTGTTCCACGAGTGTCTTTCTAAAATCATTCGAAGATATGTCACCCACGGAGATGAAAATCTGTGTAAAATTAGTACGTCGAATATAACATAAAATAAACTGTATATTTCCTATCAATTTTATACATCCTTTGATAGCAAAGTCCTCCTCTTACAGGTCACTGATATCTATACTAATGCGCACAAGATTGTAGGTTACATGTACATACTTGTACCTTGATTGAATACTGGCGTTGTGTTGCGGTCAGATAATATGTCAGACAAGCAGAGACATTAGTCATCATTATATGATTATCTTATGTTAAATTATGTACAATGTCATGTATTTTACATGAATGACAGAGCAAGTAGTGACTCGCTAAGGCTACACAAGAAGTCAATACAAGCTTGCTATGGATTGCACTGGGAGCTTGTGTGAGGGATCTGTTTGGTATAACAGTAGCCTTGTACGCCATTCGAATGAACGGGTGGATTTTAGTTTTCCTTATTCGGTATAGTGGGCTTGCCTGTTCGGTATAAAAGGCAGCAGCCTCCCTAAAGATTCTCCTAGGAGACAACTACATTAACCCTGCTAAACGGTGCCCTAGGAGTCGAATAGTACATATTGTGACGCCTTGCTATTAATTACCGTAAAATACGTGGTGCCATAACGCCCCTTACCAGTTTAGGTGTGTGGCAGCCCATGATTGTTTGGTCCTTGTCTTACATTTGTCATTGAAACAATGATAAAACCTGTGACATACTAGTACATAACCAAAATACTTGTTTTGATGTTTTGTTTTGTTTTTTTCAAAAACATTCCTTCAATAGGTTTGAACAATAAAACAACTTCTATAGTTTTTTTATGGAAACTAAGTGTTGAAATATGAAAGAATTCATGTAACATTGTATTGCCGTGGGTATCGTGCATTTAACATACGCGTGAAGATCCGCTTTTCATTCTAAAAGTGTAAAAATATCAATTTTATTCGACAGCTAAATTACAGTAAATCACTCTCGAAAATATAAAAAAAAATATTTATGGCAACTGACCTTGTCTGACGATAAACCCTCCTTCAAACATTTATCTTTCACCGTCTCTAGATTAGCCCTATTCCTTCCAGTCAAGGACAGTCCTGCCCCGCTCTTGGCGAGATAGACAGCAATGCCTTCACCAATACCGGAACTGGACCCTGTGGTACATTTTGATTAATGATTAATATTTAATTATTTATAGAAATACATTTTTCTAATGTTGAAATACTAGTAATTCTAACCTGTGATAAGAAACACTCTGTCCTTATGTTCATCCATGGATCAGATATCATCGAGTGAGATATGACCTATAAAGTAATGTGCATTTATAATGTAGAGAACTACGAAAGCCCAGAAGGCTCACTCGATATTCGAGTTTCGAAATACGAGATTCAAACTTCGAGATACAAGATCCAAACTAATCAATCAAATCGATATTTGATTACTCCCCTTTATTAAGTCTTTACTATCAGGAAATCACTGAATATATTTATAACAAATGGGTCATTTGCTTAAATAATAATGCAAGAAAAAATGTTATTTGTATCAAAACAAAATAAAAATTAATTTTGGGTAACATTTTGAAAAATATATATAAAATCTTATTTTCCTCATTAAACAAAACAATAGATACATACATTGTATATAGAATATTATATGGTCTTATCGTTGAATTGCGAAATTAGTATGTCGATAAATTATTTAATAAGCACATTGATGAGGGAGAAAATTATTATTGGTATGAAATACTAAGGATCTTCTTTACACTGCACAGTAATTTAATTAAGGATACACTTCATTACATTTAAGGCTGCATTTGTGCAGTTAGACTGATCTAATATTTGATATGGAATAAAATAAATTCCAGTCTGTATTGTATATATTTTTTTAATTAATTCATGTATTCAAAGCCTTAGATCAAGATCAGTTATTGAAAACTTAATTTTGATGTATTTCTTCTATTGGGAAACAGTGGTGTATATTCCTTCTGCTAATGTGTAGGCTAATGTGAAGTCACAGATTTCACCTAAAGCGCATCATTGCCGAATTGCGGATAGGCAAGGAGGGAGTCGCCCCCTCTAAATAGAGGGGGGTCGGAGGACCACTTTCTGCGATCTTGGAGATCTATCATTGTCATTTTTCCAGTGAATATAATTATAAATCATTTAAACATATTTTTATGATACAGAAATTAAAATCTTCATGACCAATTGAAAAATTTTAAAATCCTTACACAGTGCTTGGAAATTATGGAAATTTCTTTACTGAATAATTTAAATATAATTTTTAAAATGTTTTATGTTTGACTTCCTACTAACCCAAACATATTTCATAATTTTTATTCCTTGTCCTAATTGTAGACTCCTGTTGCTGTCATTTTTTAATAGTCTGATATCGACTTCGAGGTAACATTTCAATTTTAGATTTAACCAGCTATAAAAATCAGAAGTTTTGTATACTGTAACAATTGGATAGGCATAAAAGTGTGGATTGCTTAAAATACTTTTATTGCATTTGATAAAAATATATTTAGTAACTGGTAAATAAATAAAATTTATGATCAACTTTTCCCCATTTTTCAACCAAATACATATATAAATGAATTTTTTTTTCTTTTACATCAAGAAAATGATGTGTAAACTACAGTCTTTTTGCCTCTATGGAATATACACCACTGGGAAAGCCAACGCGATTTTTCTTTATCACTACTACAATGTCTTTCAAGATTTCCTGTGTACACAAAAAGATACGTGAACTAAGTAATTTTAATACGTACTCCTTTAGGCTATACGATTTTTGATTTTTTCAAAGTCCTAAAGGTGTATATAGAGGGTCCATTGTTTTGTTAAAATAATTATTTTCTTATCATTATTTAATACTTTTATATCTTTATTTTTCTCAATGGCTATTACATCATGTATTGAAACTTGTGTATTGATTGGTTATGTATCTTGCGAGACCCGAGCAGTTTCCTTATAAATAATTATCGAATATATAATTATTTTGCCCATGCATCGCATTGACACTGAATGTTGATAACCGAACATTTGTCTACCGTTGTAATAAAATAAACAACATAGCCATAGGACCCTGGGCACGTGTCTCTACCTGCCCCCACCCCCCATTCCCCTTATATTTTTACCGATATAATATACTATAGAAAACATAGCAACTTTAGGCTTGTGTCTTTTCAAAAATAACGTCTAATATCCCTGGGTTTTTTTTTGGGGGGGGGGGGGGGGGGGGCTTTACAGTGATTTTTTTTATTATTTCCTACGGACCTGAACAAAGAGAAATCATTATCTTTATTAAGCATGTATCTTTCAGCCATCCGTACTTAAGGGGCTGTCTCTTGGTTTCACAAACTTGGTCACTGGTCAGTTTTTAATACCTTGTCACAAACTATATCCACTTTGAAACCCGTATTACTAATTATTATTAATCGCTAGTCACTTGTTTTATTGCACACTAATAATTCTCATCGACTACAATACGCCCCTCTCCCCTTTTGGTTTTTGATTCCGATTAACAATATTTATTATTATGACATCAATCCTGTAAACAAGGAAGACAATACGATATACATATTTTTGATATAGACCTATTATAATATTTAAGAATTTATAATATATATTTAAGCATGATTTGCAGACCAAAAACCCAATATTTTCTTCTAATTTCGTTCTGATATGTATATATATATATATATATCGCTATTTCTTGCATTGTAATATAATCAAATGACCTCTTCGGTTTGAATATATTCAACGATTTCTAGAAGGTCAACACTTTGCAAAAGGGAGTAATTGAATCTTAAACCGTCTTTTGATTGGTTAGTTTGGATCTTGAATCTCGAATTTCGTATTTCGAAACTCGAGTCTCGAATGAGCCTTCTGGGCTTTCGTAGAGAACATTTACTTTAATACAGGTGGAGAGATAACGCTTGAGTAATAATTTAAGGTTCATAAACCCTCTGCTCCCGCATATAAAACGTTTTTTTAACTCATGACTTTCGAAAAGAAATGTATTTGTTAAGCAAAATACAAGCAATTATAGCACAGCTTGCGGGGCAAAATGGACAATAAAAACATTTTAACTTGACATATTTTAAAGGAATAATAGACATTTATGTCATTAAGAGTTATCTCTCTTATCAGAGTATCAATGAGCCTTAAATAATTCCCATCGAGAACCGAAGCTTTGAGAAAGATATCTCATCCTATGTACATGATGCATGAATGAAATTTAAGCAAAGAATCTTCCCTTTAATTTACGCAACATAATTTTATAATTAGGGAGAGGGCTAAAATAGGCTGCTGCCCTATCCCATTCACGTTTTTATGAATAAAAATACTAGTATGTATAAATAATAATTTTATGATTGTTTAGATCAGATCTAGTTTTGGGATGCATATAAGTATTTTACTTTGGGTGTTTGTATTTCGTTCTTATAAAGGTTTGTTTGTATGTTGTTTAACGTCCCTCTCGAGAATTTTTCACTCATGTGCACTTGCCGGTGGAGAGCTGCAAATTTTGTCCTATACTCGGCACTTACGGCCATTGAACAGTGAGGGATCTTTTTCGTGCCAGCACCTACTGCGACACGGAACCTCGGTTTATACGGTCTCATCCGAAGGACCGGTCTCCACGTCCCACAGTGGGATTCGAACCCGCGACGTAAGGATCAACTCCTTACTTCGCGACTCTAGAGCAGACGCTCTAACCACTGCGCCACGCGGGCGACTTTTGATAAAGGTATGTGCACTTATACTAATCATAAAAACAGGCTGTAAAAGTTTAGTGGCTCAATAAGGCTCAAAGGTAACTTGAAAGAATGGTGTATCAATAACAAACAAATAGACCGACACTTAAACTCTCATATTCTGTAAAGAATTTTACAATTGTAGACAAGGCTACATGTAGGGCATAATAAATTAATATTTAGTATGTCCCTATAGACGCCAGTATCAGCCTAACATTGTCTTATGTACTTTCAATGTCAATGTACTTGAGAGACGTAAAACAGTCTAGGGATGATATCGATATCACTCTCTTACCGTAGAGCTTGGGACAGTTGTTGCAAAGCTTAGGTTTGTGGTTGTCTTTTGCACATGTATATGCCGCAGGTTTCAAGATTATCTCCCTTGGTGCGCTCTTTCTTTACGGAGGGGAGTTTTGTTTTCGCGTAAGCAGGCAGGTGGGACAGTTATTTATGTTGGATACATTACATCATCGATATACCGGTCTATCATAACTGATTGTCGGGATGTACTCATTACCGAATTAAAGTAAATGCGTCAATTTTCTCTACCAAAAAAAAACAGAACAAAAGAAATAAAAATCGGAACAAAAGAAAATATCAGTGGATAAGAACTTACCAAACGAGGGAATAGATGTGGCTCTCTAATAAATACACACGCATCTTAACATTGTACGTCGGCATTACCTTATAATAACTTCAAAGAGTCCAATAACTTTTTAGAAAAGGTTGGTACAATCAAAGCATTATTTTTTTTTATTATAAATACTATGACGGTCTCTTTCGTTTTCAAATATCCTAACTGAAAGTAAATATGTATAGAAGAGCTTTTCAAAGTCATAAAAATGATCACTGCTTAGCATTATTATCTTTTTATAACATCAAATGAATTTTAAAAGCCGTAGCCATCGTTCTTTTTGTTATTCAAGTTTGTATATATTAACAACCTATCCCACTTCCATGCTGGTATGGATACTTTTTGCGCCTCTATCATAGGAGAGTTACAATCTCGAAACTCGCGTATTCGTCCCATACATCCTTAGTGTAAATCAGATGAATTAGATGACCAAGACTGAACAAAATGCTCCGAGTTTGCAGGAGTCAGAGGAGCCTTACGTCGCCTTGCATTGTAATTTTAACTTATGAAGTACATGTATATTGCAAATGAGAAGTGACAGTTTTTAGGTCACCTGGGTCGCTCAGGTGACCTATTGCTATCCGTTTTAGTCCGTCGACGTTCGTCCTTCGTCGTGCGTTAACATTTAAACATTTTTAGCTTCTTCTTTGAAACTGCTCAACCAATTTCAACCAATTTTGGCATATAGCATCTATGGGTGAAGGGGAACAACAATTATGAATTTCATGGTCCCTGGGGCCTGAGGGGTGGGGCTAAAACCACCAAAATTAATGCAATCTTTAAAAATCTTCTTCTTTACTCCTGGACATCAAGCAGTCAAACTGTTGGCATGATTGTAATAAGGATTGAGGCTTCAACCCAAATTGTGAAATTCATGGCCCCAGAGTCAGGGGTTGTGGTGCTAGGGTGGG